CCCCCTGCCCAGGGGCGGCCCGAGCGCCCCGCGGTAACCCGAGACGCCCGCGGTCCCCGGCCATCTGGAGTGCGCCCGGCCGCCGGCCTGCGTCGCGGGCTGGAGAGGCCGCTCTGCGAGAAACCGAGGCCTCTCGGATCCCTCCCTAATCCCCTTCTGTTAGCTGATTTACAGGCGGGCTGTTTGCTTTCGCATTAGATAATAGCCTCGGAGAACACAGTTATTTTTTCCTTTGTTTTTCTACCCCTCGTACCCTGTGCCATGAAGAGGGACCTCGCCTGTCTCACGCTTTTTGGTTGGATGTGTTCCCCTCCCCCACACGCTCATATCAATTCTTCAGAAGAGGGGGGAGTCCCAGAGGACAAGATAGGGTGAAAGAATTCCAGACATTTCCAGAGTAAATAATCCCTCAGTGAACAGGGCTGATCATTTGTTTATACACAGTTTCTTTTTTTTTTTAAAGTGCTTAAATAATGAAAATATTACCATGTAGGCCAAATATGATCAGATAATAGCTTGCAATAAGTAAAATGAAATCTTTTAAAAATTCTGGAACCCTGCCACCGCTGCAAGTGTTACTATATTTAGTTCAACAATTTGAAATCCTGCTCTAGACCATGTTTCTCCCCTCCCCCCCCCAACTGGCCTAAATCAATGCAAAATGTCCTGTGTGCTGTTTCTCAGTCTCATCTTTACCAAGGAAAAAATGCATGAAACAGAGTCAGAGTCGGCCTTATGCAGTGGGAACTGCTGAGACATTCGTGGATTTTAATTTTAAAAATGGCTCTTCAAATATTTAAGAGTGAGTAATATCCCTTCCCCCATCCTTTTAAACCCTGCTGGAGCTTCCAGCTCTGAAGTCTTTTCATACTCCACTAATTTTTAGCAGTTCATTTCCAGAAAATACTCATTGTACATTCCTCCCTCTCCTTGGGACATTTGACTAATGAATTATAATGGATTAATGAATTGTAATGTTAAGTCTTGGTATTTGGTATTATGATGCAGTTCATTTGAATCTCAAATTTTATTAAGCTGTACGTTCTATTGTAGTTTCTGCATGTACAGTTCATTTTTTCTATCCTTGCAAATCTTAGTATTAATAATCTTCCAATATAAAATTTTATGGACACTACTATACCCCCATTGTGGAGGAAATTGTGCCAAAGCACCTTGCTTATATTTCTTAAGAGAAAAATATTTTTATATTGTATTATCCTATTGCTTGTATTATTTTTTTCTTTCCCCCAGATTGAAAACCAATCATTTGGATTCTGGAACTACACATTTATCCTTACCTAAAATTAATAAAATGATATCTGAATCACGAATGATTCTTTTGAAATAGTGTTACTTCAAAAGTCAACAAATTTTAGGATGTAATAAACAGGGAGAGAAACAAAATATACATATCCTGCCATATCTTTCTTCTTCCTGTCAATTGTGCCAATGAAATTATATCAGAAACATTAAACTTCAAAATCAATGGAAAGTAACTTTCAGGAAATCAAAACAGTTTAACGCTTTCAGGCTATATTCACAGCAAGGCTTCCATTTAAATGATATTTTACAAGATTCTACAAATCTTACAGGATCTTCCCTTTGCCAGTCATACTTGTGGAAAAATAGTAATCATTGTTCTAGGAACACTTTGCTTTTTAGAAATATGGCAGTGCTTGCTACTCAATTTGACTGCACGTCAGATAGAAGACATCACTAAATCTGAGACTTAGAGAGAGACATCGATTTGCTGTTCCACTCGTTTATGCATCATGGTTGATTCCTGCATGTGCCCAGACTGGGATCAAGCCCACAACCTTGGCCTATCAGGGTGACGCTCTAACCAACTGAGCCACGCAGCAGGGATGAGACTTGAATTTTTTAATTTCGCTAACAGCAGCTGAAGGACACACGTCCTGAGCTAATGTAAATGACGCAAGGTATTCCTTAATCCCGCTTTCCACTCCCTTTAAAGGCCTGTGTTCTACAAAACAGAGAATACAGTTTTCTGTAGGGCATTTTCTTATATTATGTCCTAACTTCTTTATACAACTAAAACTATGTATATGGACCAACTGAAGTGTAAGGTGAATCTTGAACTGCAAAATCTAGGAAAATAGGACATTAAATGGAAAGGGAGGAGCGCGTTGGTATGTGTTGTGGGAGGGTGTGAGTTACTTGAAAACAGCACAAGTCCGCAAAAGATTTGGTTATTACAGCCTCGGGGTGGGGACTACAGACCATATAACATTCATAACACAATAAGCTATTAATCGATACATTTTATAAAACCAATCTAAGGAGGCAGGGATCAGTATTAAGTTTTTTTATCTGCCACTCACAAGAGCGATTAGGTTTCTGTAGTTTCAAGACTATGTAGTTTGCTGAGCCAAAAAAGTAATAATCATCTTAAAAATAAATTTAAAAAAGAGATTGATTAGAAAAAAATAGGCACCTACCTACTTACCCTAATGAAACACCATTAAATTGAAAAATAAAATAATACGATGATAAACTTTAATAAACCCTTGCTAGCAGTTTTCTTTTTCTCACAAGTTAGATTTTTTTTCCTCAAATCATTAAATTTTTCATTATTATGAAAGTACCAGGGCCTTTCAACTTACAGGTTTACTTATTCAGCAATGCTACCTAAGGATGCTATTTGTTTTCCCTTAAGCCAGTTAAAAAAGCAGAGAGCTTTCAATACAAATTTTAGATGAGTGTTATTACTTACCTCTTTGGAGAAGTGGGATGGATGTCTTACAAAATGAATCTCTATACAAAATATTAACAAGCACTTAACTAGCACTTTTAAAATTCCTTCTTTTAGATCTTAAAGTTTAAATGACCCCCAAGCTCTGACTTTCTATACCTTGAAAAAGTTCTCCTGTTCACCTAGGTTGATGAAAACCCTTAATCACCTGGTTACTTATTTTTAACAACAACAACAGATTATTTATTGTATTTGTGAAAAAATAGGGGATGGAAAACAAGAAGAATGGCAAACAACAATTATGTTTTCATAAATTTAGAACATACCCACTATTTGCAATTTCTCTCCCTTTTGCTGTGCAATTTTATGTGGTTTACTTTTAGAGCTTTGCAAGGACAAGTTTTATTTCAAATCTTTGCAATTTTGTTATTTAACTTGCTCAAGGATTCGTCTTAGGACACAGACAACAAGTAAAAGAATAAATTTCAGAGGTCTTTTCATTTTACCCTATAGTAGTTAAGCCACGTAAATTTAATACACAGGGTATGGTATACATACGTTAGCTCTTAGGAGACTTTTAAAACAAGATAATAAACAGATTTTTAATGAAAAATCTATAAGTTAAAGTAAAAATGGCCCTCATTATCTCTTCAAATAAGTTGGTCAGTTTGGTATAAATTTAGCTTTAAGCCTGCAGACAATGAGTGATTTTTATTTATGATCCCTATGTGTTCAGATAATCCCTATGTCTTTCCCTGTAGGACTTTAAAACCAGTCTACATCCAAAAAGCCAAAGTCGCAAAATTCCGGTTACTTATTTAATTTGCAAAAGGAATTTTTAAAGTTTGGAATGTTTTCCAAAATAATTCATATTAATGTTTCTCCAAATAATGACTTTTACTTTTTAAATATTTACATATTTGTATTTGTCAGATTTTAACACATTAAGCTCTACAGGAATGCATTTATTGAACACTATAAAGCACACACATGACTGCCTGCCACACATATGAAAGTGTTTTTATATGCACAACTATCTGTAATCTAGAAATTATCTCATGTGATGGTTTATAGCTAATCCATGAAAAATAATGATGCCAAATAAAAATAGTATTCACATGTTTCTAATTTAAATTGAGTATTTCCCACCTCCACTTTTGAAACCTGATTTTTTTAAATACTATAAATCAGAATAAAATCATGTAGCACCCCTCCCTCCCTGGAATTGTACGTTTTCATTTTTCGTCGAATGTGCCCAGAGGTTATTTTTCCTTCTTCACTGGATTTTTTTATTGGCAGTTATTCGGTCTATATAATTCTCAGCTAGGTACATATTACCGTGGGGCAGGAGTCTTTGTTGTGCTCACTGATCGCGCTCGGTGCACATTAGCTGCTCAATAAATGTTTGTCGAGTGGTGAATGAATCAGATTAAGATGCTACATGAGTTACTTGTCCTGTCTCATCTACATAAATCTAAACACCGCCGACTTGACTTCTTTTTAACCGAATTATTAAGAAGCCTATGATTTTAACACTGCCGGTATTTTCAATGAAGAAAATGTGGGCAACCAAAGAAAAGAGTCTCCTGTGTTGGAATAAACACAATAACAAAACCCACAGGCGCAACGGGGACCCCTTGTAGTGACTGTGCCGCCGTCTAAACGAGGCCCTACTTCCCCCCTCAAGCTACTGTTTCTAATACTGGAGGAGGGTTTCCATTTTTCTGAACAATAGGTTTTAATTAAGAAGATTTATTAAAGACAGTTTTCATGCCTGTGATTACATTCCCAGTTCCAGAGGCATCTGCATTTCAAAACACACCACAGAGTTTCATAAATACCCCACAGCTCCCTCGGAGCTTTGGTCCTTCAGCTTCCTCCGGCCCCTTCCCGGCGTCACCCGCTCGGGTGCTCCGTGTCCCGCACCAGCCAGCATCCCGCATCTCTTCACACAGGTATGGTGTTAGAAGGCGGCCCCGCAGCCTCCCTGTTCCCTGTGAGCCGAGACTTTTGAAAGGAACGAAGACAAGCTGGGCTCAGGGGCAGTGTCAGGAGAGTCCCGCTGGCGCAGGGGCCCGCAGGGCAGGGGAACCGGGCTGGGTCCGCCTCAGTTTACACCGTTGTTACCTTAATAGAGTGGGAAATGCAGTTACATGGTGGAATCTGATAGGGCCCAATGAGAGCTCTTTTTGTCTCTGTTAATACAGTTTTACGTTGTTAGTTTTTGAAATGAAGTTTAGGCAGAAAGTTATGTGAAGATAGGAGCAGTTTTAGTCCCTATCTTTAGATGCACCTCGTGAGTGACAGTAAATTGTCAATGAGACCTTGTGTTTTGTATAAAATTGTAAGCCACTGTGTTATTAAGCTTGATCAAGGTGCAAGGAACAGAAACACCCTGAGGTCATTTCATGTAGCTCAGGAGGGTTCGCTGCAAGGATAGAGGGGACGCGCGGAAGGCAGGTGACGGTCAGTGTGCACACAAGCCTTACCCGAGAGGAGACACCTGTACCTTTTGTGTACCTCTCGGGCAGCCTCCCCTAATGTTCCCCGGGCTCCCTGCCTCATGTGCCGGCCTTGCCAGGACCCTGTGCTCTCCATCCCTGGGCAACTGCTCCTTTCACGACCAGCCAATTGCTTGGCCCTCCCTGCTCCAGGGGGGCACTGTTGTGATGAACTAGCCACGGTAACAGGCAGGGAGCGGAGGGAGGCCAGATGCTACAGGCGTGGCACTGGGGCTACAGCTCCACACTCCCTGGGGGCCCAGCAAAGGGAAGATGGACGCGTGCCCAGTAAAGCTGGGGGGTCTCGTGAAGGTGCTTGCTGTCAATCACACCTGGGGACAGAGAGGGTTGGCCAGAATGGGCGTGGCCACTGCAAGGGCTCAAAATTTGGGATATTTCATCCCCTGCACAAAGGAGTTCACGCTCTTGTGCTCTTACTGCTCTTGGGACTCTTGGGACTTGGGTGACTCTGGGTTTGTGGGGCCCCCCTTGCGTTTGCCCACAGGGCCCACGGCCATGCGGGCCCCCCACACAATGGACTAATGGACTGGAACTGGCCCGATGGTGAACTGGACCCAGCTCCAACATGGAAAGGAAACTGTGGACGCTGGCTTTGTTTGTAGCTCTACTGAGTCCGCAGCTACGCTTCTTCCAGGGCTGGACTATGGGAAATGGGACTTTGGAAACCCAGGGGTGCAATTCCACGGAAATAAAGCTTCAACCACATCTCATCCGTGGGGGCCTCCGGAAATGCTTGTTCCAGTGGTTCCCCAAGAACCCCGCTCCCACCGATAACAACAGATTCTGCTCATTCATTGCTTTAGATATTCTGTAATTTCTAATAACTTGTGGCTTCTGTTTAATCTCCTGTCTTTCAACTCCTGTTCTCCTGTTAACAAACACATACTCTTAAAAATGCAGGGGCAGAGAGACTGAAGGAATCCGTCAACCACCAACCATGCTTTGGAACAGATCGCTGTTGGCTGGAGGCTGGCTCAGGGTCCCATCTCTGGGGCAGCGACGTGAGGTCAGGGCGGCGAGGTCGTGTGGACACCGTTCCTCCGAAGGAAGGCCTTCGCAGAGTGTGCCAGACCCCTCTCTAGAGCAGCAATATCAC